TTTAAAGTGACTTTTCTTATCCACCTGGCATGGTTAAGTGGCTGCTGTGCAAAAAGCCGTGCAAGGAAAGAAAGGTGTCTAAGTGCAGTGACCCTCCCAGCAGAGGACATGGAGCACAGAGACAAAACAGGACTCTGATGAGCAGCACTACTGGGGCACCTCTCTGGCCTTTCAGTACCTTCAGGTGCTTTGCTGAATTTATTTGTCAGAAATGTCCCTTGGTTTCCATCTCTCAAGCCCAGCTCTGCTTCTCTCCACAGGGTCAGTCTGTTTCATGGCTCCCATTCCTGTCTGGGCAGGCAGCTACAGGAATGATGAATGGAAAACTGAAATTTTACAATGTTCAGTGACAACTCACGGTCAATTCTAGCCATTTTAGGCCTGGGGAGGTTATTTGCTCCCTTATTTTGGTGGGATTTTGCTGTCATGTTTGATTTGGGTTTTTGTTGGGGTTTTTTTTTTGGGGTTGTTGTTTTTTGTTGTTGCTGTTTGGTTTAAAATCTTGCTTAAGTTGGTTTATACAGCCCTAAACAAATCACAAACTTTAATTTGTCTTTTCTAGATCACTTTCCAGTAAACATTCTCTCTTTCTTTGGTAATGTACTGCAGTCTGAGTCTCTAATGGAGTTTGCATGTATAAACAGTTTCCATTGGCATTCACTGGAGCCATATTTGCAGAATCAAAGATTAAATGCAGCCATTATTGACTTGCCTGTTTTTGCTGGTTTTGCTCATTCTCTGTTCATTGTCTGCAAGGCTGCTCTTGCATGATAGTGCTGATTCAGGGGATCAAAGCACTGCATCTTTATATATATATATAAAATTAAATTCAAGGTTTGTCTGGTGCTATTGCTCCACAGAGGTTTTTATCCTGCAGTAAATCCCTGCAAGACAGACACACAAATATTAGGAAGGTTTATAGGGTACAAGTGTTCCTGTATAACCAAATCCACTGGGCTGGGAGGTTTGGTGTCTGCTCTTCATTAACCAGCAAACACAGGGAGAGATGAGTTAGTGCAGAGGGACAAGCACAGCAGAAGTAATTAAAGCAAAGTGCCTCTTGAGGGACACTGCACAATGTTCTAGCAGAACTTCAGAGGAGCTCACAATTCCTGTTTTACCCTACATTTTGATATAAAATACCCAAATTCCTATCCAAACAGGAGCCATGGACACAGCTGGCACAGCCACTGCCTCCCTGCCCATTTGGCTGATAAAGGACACTCACTCCATGCTGCTTCTCCCTTATATCTTTAAACTATCAAGGCTACAACAACCATCAACTACATTTTGCAAAGCCTAATGACAGAGATTATTCAGATTCTCACATTGGCAAGTGTCAGCCCCAGACAGAATGTATCAGTAGCTTTATCCTTTACCTTGTCCTAGGGTTTTATAGCATGTATGACTCACAACATGGTGCTTGCACAGCTCTTTCAGAATATTCAGACCTCATGAGTGTATCTGAGCTGTTATGTTACTGCTGGATGACTAATTCTCAGGATATTAACCTTCCTGCACTGCTCTAGTTGTATTTCTCCCATCTAACAGTGATAGCCAGTGAGATCCAAACCTCTGATGAGAATCGTAAGAAGGGAAAAAAAAAAAAAAGGAACGCTTACCAACATCAAGATCCAAACCTCTGATGAGAATTGTAAGAAGGGAAAAAAAAAAAAGAATCCTTACCAACCTCCTCTAACACCAGTGCTGCTTAGAGCAGCATTTTTCTTTAAGAAAAGCAGCCACAACTTTGAGAGCACTGAGTAGTGATTAATTTTGAGATGCTCCAAATTACATGGAATTTGTTTTAAGGCTGCTTTCAAAATAAAGGAAGGGGTCTAAAATGCAGAAGGTTATTTGAGAAGAAGGAAAGTAATAATAGAAAACCAGACAGAATCTAATGAGATCTAAAATTAGAAATTAGAAGATGAAGTAGCAATATAATACCTAAACTATTAGCAAATAATCTAAAGAGGACGCAAGAGAGGAATGTAGCAAAGGAAAATTGGCAAAGAGATGGGCAATTCAGGGTTAGTAAAATATTCAGAAAAGCTTAATTTTTATTGTGATAATAAAATGGAGGTGAGCTAAAATGCAGAAATTCAGGTAAATACAAATGCAAAACACTGACTGTCTGGCAAAACACATGCCAGGTAACAAACACATACCAAGAGCAACCTAACTCTGGCTCACCAAGCACATATCTCTGTGCTGCACCAATAAATCACATTTTGATTCTGCCCCAGGATAGAAAACCAGTACAAAGGCTTTATCAGGAGCATTCCTGGAAATTCATGCTGCACTAAGTTCCCTTGGCGAGCTCCTGGTGGGTTTTATCTCCTCCACCAAGACACACATGGTAGACAGGGACAGGACCTGCCCCTGCCTGCTCTCCTGCTGTCTCCATGAAGGATGGATGTGCCTGCACTGCTGCTCCCCACAGTGACTGCCAAGCTCTGACCCCAGAGCAGGGACACTTCCACTGACAAGCAGCACCTGCAATTTCTTGCATGCCTTTCTTTTTCCCATGGCTCCAGCCTCCATCTTTCCAGGCACAAATGGCCTGGCTCCATCTTCTTGATATCCTGCCTGCACACCTTTATGAGGTCCCACTGAGCCATCTCTTCCCAGGATTTGCCTGGAGTTATTATTGCTTACAATTCAAGCCAATTTTCTGGGTGCAGAGTACTAGCTCTGATGAGAAAGGTTTAATATTTTCAGTGCTTTTCCGCACAAACTGAATTTTCCATCTAAGCCCAAACCCTTCTCTTCAGTTTCATAACCAGAGACCATGTGCATTGTAGTAGAGCTGATAAGAACAGGTAGCATTATTTAGGATCCAGTTGCAGTCCTTACCACAGGCTTTTTGACCTTTTGGATCTCTTGCTGCCCAGGTGAAAGCCCTAATCACTGCTGCAAACTGACCCAAACACCACAAACCCCCTCAAAGGAATGCGAGACCCAAGACAGTCTTACAGAAGCTCTCTCCTAACCCACTCCCACCAGCATCACCCAAGATCCTGCCTGACAGCTAATCAACATTAGTTACCATAACTACACTGTGTGAATTACCTCGTGAAGGGAAAAGAATCCCCAGCAGTAAGTTACATTAAAACACAATAAATCCCCTATCAAAGTCATTATCTGAATCACTGATGCAGTCAAGTGCAAGAGGCATCTGATCTGTAAATGGGATTTGTTTATCAAGCAGAATTTCAAGTCTTTAAGGAAACAGCATCAACAGGAGCAGCCTCAGAATTTAAATCTCAACACAGAACAATCTCAGATATCAAGTAAACATTTTGCCAACATTTAGTTAAATTGGAAGAGGCAGGAATACTGAATGCAGAGAACCCTATTTTCCTGCCCTGTAATAGCACAGAGGATTTTCAAAGATTTTTTTTTCATTGCACTACATTCAATCAAGTAATTTAATAGTTTAATTTGACAGAGCCCATGAATATACAGCTCCCATTCTCTCCCTCACCAGTCAAAGCAGCCCCAAATTTTACTGCAGAGCTTTCTGAGGCACTGAGATGCACAGAAGAAAATGTGCTCAGCTTAAAAAGATAAATGCTTGTCAAAAGCAACTGCATTTCCTGCCCATTGTTTCCTCCCCTATTCATTAAACTTATTGCTCTTCTTTTATCAAAATAGAAATTCTGTCATAGCAAACATAGTCCTAAAGTCTACAGTTACCAGATGTGAAAATGTCAATATATTAAACACGTGTATACACAATGCAGAAACTCCAGCCAAGCCACCAGGCTTTGTGTTTCTTTACTCAGTCTTTTTCTGTAAAAAATGTGCTCTAGAAAACTGAAGTGTAAATAAGAATGTGAACCACCAACACCCTGAGTGATTTCCAATAAGTAGGGAAAATGAGAGGTTCCCTCTTTGCATTCAGCAAATTAACCAAATAAGAAGAAATCTGTTTTGATCCCAATAGAGCAGGTGCAATCACAGGGAGGTTTCTTTACAGATGCTTGCATCATAAAATGGTTTAAAAACAAATAAACCAGAAAATTTTGCAGGTTTAGGGGTCTGATTAAAATGTAATGGAAAGCATATTTCAAAAATACTTTATTATTTTTCAATTAGGATCCCTTAAATCAGGATACTTCTACACTGAAGATAAATGGATTTTCCAGGGAGCTCTGCTGCCTTTCAGGTACTTGCTTATTTACAGTACCAGAAGCAGGGAAATATTGCATCCATCCCCACGAACCCAATCATGGAAATCTCTCCATTATCTCAAGTTAACCTGGGCTGAAAACTTAACCAGGGTCAGATGTAATTCTGTGCAGAGCACAGGATTCTCTGCCTCCCTCAAAACCCTGAAGAGGAGCATTTCAGCATCTGTTTTTCATGCTCTCCAATTCAGGACTGTTCACTAATGCACACACTTGGAAATTTTCAAAACCATTTTCAGCTCTGGATTGAAACATCTCAGGCTTTTTTTTTTTTTAAGTGAAAAACAACAATTGAAAGGTATTTGCTCAAATGGGAGTAAAATCCTTTTCTCAGGGAACAGAAATTATCTGTGTGGCAGATGAAGAGGGTGGGTTGATTTTAGCAGAGTTAGGTGGAGGCCAGTGATTTGGCCAGGTTTCAGGCAAGACAGCAAAGTCTTCACTTACAAGAGAATTGTCTCCAGCAGCACGTGTTGCATCTCAATCTTCCAAGCTATAACTTGACCTCCACATTTTTCAAAGTGAGTTGAAAATAAAGTATTTTTATTGATGTAATCCATGAGATAACCCTCTGAGAAATCCAATATGCTATTGAAAGATTATTATCATTGAATTTCCCAGAAGTTCAACTAGACACTTTTCAGAAGTGATTCTTGAAGTTTCTCATCCTGTCCTTTTATTATGCTAAGTGCCCATTGATTGAGACTATGATGTGGACGAAGCACAAAGGGTTAATTGCTCTGCATCACTTCTGCTTAAAATAATTCCAGTAGAAAAGGCAGCTGTAACAGCCTATTGTGTACTTACTTTCAGGGAGTCTGAACACATTTTCTGTGGAAACCATGGCAATTTGAACGTTCCTGGCAAACAAAGAAATAATTACCCTTGCAGTCATTGAAATCAACTATGTGCACATGAAGGGAAAAAAAATAAAAACACCACCATAAAATGTCCATTCCAGCCTTCTTAGACTGCAACAAATTACCCAAACATAAGGTGTAATCAGCTTCAGCAGCAAAACTTGACAACCTTTTCTCCCACTCCTTTTTTTCATTCTATTATTTCATTGTTGAAATACAGCTAAAAATTCTGTGTAAAAGTAATGCCTGCATGTAATTTTAAGTACATACAGGCGTTTTAAAAGCTGCCTCTCTTGTGTGTTCTGTGAGTCAGAGACAGGTAAAGGAAAACACAAAAGGAAGCTAGAAAAATGAAGAAAATGGAGGAAAACTGAAAGAGTAAAATCTTCAGGCAAAAGCCTCTTCACACTTAAAACTGGTTGCTTGGTAGCTTGGAAAGCACTCCTGCTTGTTCACAGAAACAAGAAATCCCCCTGAAAGTGGGATCAATTCTAATGAAATTCATAAATCCCACAGAGCAGCTCGGAGAAGGCAGGGACAGGCTGTCCCTGTGGTAGGACAAATGTTTGCAGAGTCTGGAAAGCAAAGATAATAACAATGGCAATAAATTATAGCCATTCCCAGCCTTTCTTGAGCTCGTTCCTTTGCTCTACAAACTTAGAAATACCGAAGACAAATGTTTAGCTCTTCATTATTTCATTTGCAGTGATTCCTCCAGCCAAATCACAAAATATAAACTGAGAGCTAGAGAACAGCTGTCTCACAGAAATGCCAACGAGCACAGGGAATTAGGGAAATACCTCTGAAATCTGATGGCAAACCAGGCTTCTCCTACCACTGCAGAACTTCTGTTCTGCCGGTGCCTCTCTCTGATGAGAATTTTCCCCAGCTGACCCAGAATACCTTCTTGGCTGAGGATGAAGAGGAACCACCCTGCCACATTAGCAAAAACTCCCTGCTCAGTGCTGACACAGCACAAGAAATTGCTGCTTGGTCCCCAGAGGATCAGGAGGCAGCAAGGGGCAGACACACCTTGCTCATACCCAAGGTCACTGGCCAAGAGATCTGGTACCTCTGGAGCTCAAATCCAGCATGTGCATAAGGCTTGATGCACAGAGGAGAAAGGCTTAAAGAAATGATTGGGAAGACTAGAAATAATTTATTTTCCTGGGAGAAGCAATTGTGTGCAAATGATCTCCTTTGTGCAATTAAACCCTTTTTTCATAGCCTGCTAAGAAATGTAAAAAGGATGGACAGCCTAACAAAATGGTTAGCAGAGGGAATGGGAAATAATACAGTTTATTGTATTTCAGATTAGCTATGCTTTCACAAAAAGGCTGCTCCAGCAGGCTGAACAAAACACCATTCCCTTGTGGGTTAGATAGGACAAATTACCTTTTCAGGTTTTAATTTTAAGCTTAAATTTATGAAACACTAATCCACGACCCATTAAAGATAGCATTTGCCAGTATAGCCAGCAAAGCAGGAATGCTTACAAGCTTTCAGAAATGTGTATTTTAAAGGAGAAAAATCATTGGACACAGCCTTTTCCATTGTTCCTCCAGTTCTCTGTTTGGCAACACTTCAAATAGGAATTGGCATAAGAAGCTGTACAATCTGTTCTCCTTAAACAAGCCAAAGACTTTGCTTTTTTTTTTTTCATCTTTGATATATAGGGACTTTTTGCAAAAGGAAAGGACAAAGAGGAAGACAGGGATCTTTTCTTTCTTTTCCTTTTTTTTTTTTCCATATGCATCCAGATATAACCACAGAACAGATCAAACACCCCTATGTCCAGCAGCCAGCCCAGCCTGTGTGACAGTGGGGTATGGCACACTACATGTTCAGGACAAATGTAGTGCTATTTCCCCCAAGCATCCCTTTAGTCTCCAGAAAACTGCAGTGAGGGGAGTTCTGGAGCCAGAAACAATGTCTTGATATTTCCAAGTCTTCAGAGGAATTGCCCCATTGCTTTTCTGAACTCATGTCAACTTTTAGCATGGGGAGCATTCTGCAAGCTCTATAATCTACTCTGCTTTTTATCAGTGCTGAACTGACCACTGCTGGCTTCATTTGCTATCCCTTAATTTTCCTATTGGAGGAGGGGGAATAAAAGATCAAACTCTTCCCTCTTTCTGCCTCTCTGTTGTATTCCCTCTCAGCAACCTCTTTTTTACCCTAAAGGCTCTTTCTCTCTATCAATGATTGTGCTGAGGTTTCAGGACCTCCTTTACCTTCCTATGTAACTTTTCCAGCTGTACCCAAAACCTATTAAGCAGAGGGAACCAGGAGTATGCATAGGATTCTGGATGGGTTTGATTTGTTCTTGTCTTTCCACAATATATCTAACACATTATATATATTTTAGGAGAGTAATGACAACTGAGCTAATCTTTTCACTATACCATCCATCAGGGTGCTAAAATCTGAATCCTAACTGAAAGAAACTGCTCAGAATCCATTTCTTTAATATGTACAGATGGGATTATTTTCCTCTTATATTCATCACTTTGCACTTATCTATACAAAGTTACATCTGCCATTTCTTTCACTCAATGACTTCTCTGAATTTTTCTGCATTTATTTCAGGTTGCCCTTGGTCATTAACATACTGACATTCTTAGGGCTGTCAACAAACCATCTCCTGTCTATTCCATCCACTTTCAGAATTATCTTGAAGACCATATGTTAATTAGCACTGACTCAAATACAATCTCTAATAACAACATTCTCCTCTTGAAAACTGATTATCCATTTCTGTGTTCTTTCCAATTTTTTATCCATGCAACAGCAAGGACATGCAACCTATGGCAAATCAGTGGGCATCTTCTTTCTTGAAGCTGCTTTAGTGAAGATAAATCTTCAATATTTAGGTAACCTGCATTATTGGGAATGCCCACATCCATTTCTTTTTCAGCTACTAAAAAATTAAAATTGACAAATCTGTGAGGCTTAACCTTATCAGAAAGTATGCTGTTTCTCAGTCCTATTGAGCCCATTTCTGCACTGTGATCTCCTTTAGAGCCTTGTCAGTGGTTCTGGTCACAGGGTCAATGGTTGATGTGCTCTGACAGAGGTTCAGTTTGCACCTGAAACCACAGCTAAAGAGCCACAAAACCAGGAAGCACAAAACACTGCAAGCACTTAAAGGGAAAAAACCAAACAGGAATTAGGGTCTCCCATACACCATACCAGAAACAAACAAAAAAAACCCTAAATCATTAATGTTTTCTTTTACTCTATAGCTTTAACCCAGCTCCAGTTTTTTGCACTAGACATTCATTAACCATGACAAATCTTTGATCTTTGGTAATAGACCATGGCAGAATAGCAGAATTTTAAAGGATCCAGTTGTCTTCCCTGTAGCAGTGGCGATGACATTTGCCCCTCTGTTTCCACAGAAACTGAGACAACAACAATAGTACTTGCAAGTAGCATCACACTCAAATACACTGTGGGCTCTATTTGCAAAATATCTGACAATGAACATCATTCTGGACAGTTTCACAGGAACAAGAGATTGAATCAATTTACTCTTTCTTGATTGGTACTTTAATGTTAAAATGATGCAATTATCTGGAAATGTATGTTTATCATACACATCTAGAAACTCTGTGTTTTTATGATGTGATTAAGCAGCCTCAGTTTGCTAGTACTTGCTTATCAGTCTTTGATGAAACACCTTTTAAAGAATGTTGAAAGATGCTATTTTTCTCCTAACTGCTGTAGTAGAAATGGAACTAGAATTGTGTAATTAGTTAATTTTATTTATTATGCCATTAGTTTAAGAACGACACACATTACCTCTCCCAAGCAGTACAACTCCAGTCAAAGATTAAATAAAATTAGAAGTAACCACTTCAAGATGAAACAGAAAAAGCAGAGAACAGATTGTCTGTGTTCCCATTTAATTATTGCTAAGATTTTAAAATCAATACCTAACTCAGAACATTTGTGCCACATATCAAAATTCAGAATTAGACAGTCCCAGACAAGAGATATGTGGTTTGGTTTTTCTGGGGTGCAGTAACAGTCAGAAAAGGAAAGCTTTGAAAAATTTATTATTGCTCTTTTCCCGAAACACGAGAGAGAACATCTGAAGTCTCCCTTTCATTTCCAGTTCTGAATGCAATATTTAAAATAAATGAGTAATCATTTTAATCCCACCACCTGAAAGATCCATATAAAATATTGCAGAAGAGCCTTTGTGAAACAGATGCTGGAGAGCAAGTGGGCCACTGACAGTGGTCTTATCTTGATGGCTTTTAGCTGAGGCTGAGGTTCCAGCAGATCTTACCAGGCTGGGCAAGTCACCCCACCCAGTGATCACCCCATCTTTGAGCTGCTGGACTGACAGAGCTGCACTTGTCTTCTCTGTGCTGGACAGCAATGCCCTCAGCAACAGCACAGCACACATTTGCTAAACAAATTTGTCTGAGCTACAGCCATCAGTAAAAATGTGTCTTAGTTTAACTGGCTTTAGAAGTGAATTGACACCAACTGATTAAATTTCAGTTAAGTTTGAAAGCATCAGTAGAAGGACTAGTGTGAAGGAACCATTCCTCTCCAAAACATAATTCAGATTATTCCCTTTGCTTGTGTCCTCCCCACACAAAGAAGATATTTCAAATCAACCATCCAAACCCCACTCAGCTGGGCTTGGAAGAATATATTATTTAGAAACATAATTCCATCAATTCCAACAACCCCACCTATGTGCCTAAAGGTGTTCACCTCTAACTGAACTAAATTAGGCCTTATGCTTATTTTGCATACTTTTCTCTCTCCCATTGCACAAGAACTTCTGCACTAGTATTCAGAGAAACCAGAGCTCTCTATTTGTGTGTTCCACTCTAGAGAACACAATTCCTATCTTGTATTATTAACAGCGCACTCAAAAGTCTGTCTTTTTTAGAGAAATACCTAGTCAAAACAGAAATTTTGGTTTCCTGCAGAGATTATTAGGAGACAGCCTTTGGTCCATGCTGTGAGGCAGGTCT